TCTCTCTCTCTCTCTCTCTTCTTCAGGTCCAAAACAACAGGACCGTGCAAGAGATTCTTTCCGAGACGTGACGGGCTCTGTCAAGATTGCATTTCAACGATGCAGATTGTACGCGGTCCAAGGTCCATCATCCGCGACAGCATAACGGCGAACAACATGGAACTGACAGACTTCAAGCGCCATTCAAGCAGTGCTCGTGCTCGGCGGGCTCGGGTACAGCTGGACAGTCACCGAAGCCAGTGCAGGTATTTCCCAACAGATGCAGCAGTCGCCTCAGCTCCAAAGACAAGGCTGAGTCTCAAAACATCAAAACATCTCACAGGTCTCAGCTCACCGACCTGCGAGAGAAGTTGACCAGTGCCTTCGGGGAAATCACGGCTTTGGTGAAGCAGAAGCCAGGGCCTCGGCAGGGCTCGGCTCACGCTGGCCGCCGCTGACCTCTGAGCCGAACAAAAACCTCCGAAGGACACAATCCGACTCGGAGATGATGCAGGAACGTCCTGCCGAGTCTCTTCCCGCTTCAGCAATAGTGCTGTGGAGGATGTGAACACACTGCAGCAGAACCTCTCTCAGAAGACCTACGAGCTCGAAGCTCTCAAGAAATCCTATTCCCAGGTGCGGAGCGTGATTCACAGCACTGTTGCTAAGCATTCTGTGACCTTGGGCTTGCAAGACATTCCACACAAGCACCAGCTGAATATCCAGCCTAGTCCAATGTCCTTGCTCGTGCAAGTGTCGCAGAGTGCCTCTGACAAACAGTCTGTTCTCCCCAAGGGTGCCTACTGCCCAGCTGCAAAACTGCCAATCTCAACAGACACTTTCCAAGCGGGGCTACAGATCAGTGTTAGAGACAATGTACTGCGGTACCCTCTGCTATGCCAGGGTGATCAACAAGCTTTCTCGTGTTCACAGGTATGCATTTGGTGTTCGCTTTTTTGCTTCCCGAGCATTGCGCTTTGATAAGTGCAAACTGTCGTCCGCCTCGGCCCGGTCGCAAGGTGCAGTAAGATGACGAACGTGGTCGCGGGACGCGGCCCTCGGTGGGGGTTGGGAGGGGAAAGCCAGGATTCATTGTTTTTCGGACTGGGTCAGTTGGCACTAAACTTGAGTGGGGGGTCACTCACTGGGAGGGGATTACACCCCCAGAGAGGCGAGAGAGCGGCAACCTCTGAGCGCTTCGGCCATGCATATGTTTTCCGCTGCGTCCTCACCTTCCGTGCATGAATAAGCCCTCAGCGGGTGTATCGGTTCGTTCCCGTCGATGTACCAGTCCGGGCAACAGTAGCGCGACGTATCTCGGCCCTGCCACCGGCCTGGACACAACACCCATTAGCATATTATGGCCGGTGCGCTGCACTTGGTGGCGCAACGGTGGGGCAGGATGGAGCATTGGTGCGGCTCAACATACCGCTTGAGTGACCTTTGATATGGAGGGCGGGCAACATATGCCGTACAGATCTGCCATTCCGCTGATGTGAGCTTCCACCTATGTGGATGGGTGGATGTTTTTGTCATCAATTTGGTCACTGGTCATGTCGGCATTTGGATGTCGGGAGGAGGGGCAGGCCAGCAACGGATAGTCCGTACAAACACCGGAGAGTGTGATGCCCACGTAGGGCTGGCAGGCACACCAGCACTTACAAAGCTCCCTCATCCAGATGCAGCCTGGGACGCAGCTGTTGATGCTGTAAGAGCCTCGGTTGCTGCACTCCCCGCGAGGAACCATTTGCAAGTCACTCAGAATGAGGCCGAATGCAACACTTCCTGTTTGGGTTGCTTGGACATGTGTCCTTTGACAGGTGAGTACGGCCAAGTCTTCTTGTGAGCGTGTGCCCGCGCTGCAGTCGGACTGTGTTGCAGCTGTTTTGCCAGATGTGTCAACTTGCGAATGCTTCTAGACATAACACTGGATTCCTGAAGCGTGCACTCGGCCTGCAACCAGGTGCAGCGGGAAAGCACACAACGGTTCTCGCAGCTGGAATCCAGCCTCAAGTCGATGACGGACCTTGCCTTCTTTCACCTCATGGTCTCTGCCTTCCATGTCCATCGCCAGGAGGACTACAGCCGCGGGACAGGGGAGGTTCATAAGCAGATGCGGCAGCAACTCGGACTCTCAACAAGCTCCGCGAGCTACAAGAGGTTTTGCGAGCGACTTTGCCACGGCTCACGACGTTCAGTGTCTCCGCGGCTCTGCTGGGTGCCACCGTTCCGGGAAGATTATTGGGTTTTCGTAAGTCTTCAGAGAAGTCAGTGTCATCCCTGACTCACATCATAGGAGCTTCGAAAGTTCGATAGGATGTGACTTCATGTCTCGCAATGGAGCCGGACCAGCCGGACCCCGGCAATCCTCAGGCAAGACAGGGGAGGCTGGGGAGGGGCCAAGCTTTCAATGCTCCGTCTTGAAGGGCTCCTTCACGAGTGGGTCGAACTGGAGAGAATGGCATCTCGGCATTGGAAAAGTCTTGCGAGCTCAGATTCGCATCCTTTTGTCCACTGCCCTCGCAGGTCCGGGAGGGAAGATGGAAGCGAGAACTACAAGCCCCCCGAGCATGACGGACGGTTCATGCATCTTCATGCTTCCCTTGCATATTGCAGCAAGTAAGGTTCGGAGACTTGTCCCGCGGTGTTCTGCAGCAAGTGCAGGCGCTGGTGATTTCTGCCGAAGCTCTGAACCGAGAGAACCTTGCATTTCAGAATTTCAGGCTGGCATGCGAGACCTGAAGCACAAGGTGGCGGACAAGGCCTTGTCCCTGAAGGAGTCACCCAAAGAAGCAGCTCCCCTCTGGCTCCCGCTGCGTATTTGTCCTCGCATCACAGGAGGAGCATGAGAGCAAGGCTGCCGAGTACGTCCGTGAACTGGTGGCCGCTGCAATGCAAGCCAGTTTCCAGTTGTATTGTTGGCTCCTCTGACCCCCACTGTCTCCTCTGAGGCTTCTGACCAGAGCGAGGAGGGACAACACGTCTCCACAGTCGAAGAGTCGAAAGCGACAACGACGGCGGAGCGTTTCTGGACGAGCCTATGCAAGGACCGAGAGCTTCTGCGCGAGGGCTGCAGGGATCGAGCCTTTCCAGATCGCCTATGCAGCTATGCCTGCTGGGCCTGCTGTTCAGGATGCACACACGGACCACTGCAGCGAAGAAACGGTTCCAGATCCTTCCAGCTGTGGAACATTGCAGGTCCAGGCTCTGCCGCCGAAGGAAAGAGCATCCCGAAGGAGCATCTTTGAGCTTTCGCGGGCAGGTGCTGCAGCTTGGCTCTCCAGAGCTCCTGAAAGCGGACGGGAGCCTTGGACCTCCAAAAGTCCCCCCCCCCCCCGCGCGACCCATCCCGACCTTTGCCGCGTCTAGGAAGGCGGCCAGAAAACCGGTGCTGCTCCTGAGTCTTCATGGCCGCCGCAGCGGCGCCCTCCGCGACGGCGGCACCGCAACCTTCGAGGCTCGAAAACTTCGCGATCGAGAGAGAGCGAGAGAGACAGAGAGAGAGAGAGAGAGCACAAGTCCGTAGCCATTTTGGCTCAAGTCGATCCGCCGCTCTCCTTTGGGGGGCGCCTGAGGCCGGCCCTTTGGGATAGCTGGCTGTTCCCAGCTTTCCCACTGGGTGGACGTGGCCCGGGCGGGGGGAGGCTTGAGGCCATCCGCCGTTGCTATTCTGCTCCAGTGGCCTGACAGGGGGGAGCCTTGTGAGCCATCGACCTGACGGTAAAGTTCGTGACATCTTCGCCCTTGCACGCGACCTGGCAACTGCAAGATCTACTCCTTCAGCGTGCCTTCAGAGGAGGGGACAGAGTTCCACGACCCGCAGGCCCTTTCTCTCCTCAAGACAGTGCACCAGGTCTACCAGTACACTGGCAGGGGGAGACCATCACCTCAACGGTCGTGATATTGGGTAACGGCCGCGACATAGTGAAGATCATGGTGGGGGAATGCAAGCTTTGCAGATACGCAGAAGGGACATGCACGGTGGGGATGCAAAAAGTACATGATCGCACAGACCCGGCATGCAGGCTGCATGGGGTGACATCGGCAGCCACAAAGCCGCCACGAGCTCGAACCAGAACCCCGCCAGGCGAGAGGGGACGAGAAGCAGCAGCCAGCCCACAACGGGGGAGCGCCCCGTCCGGCACAACTCTGAGCCGGGGGAGCAGCTCGAACAGACCGCTGGGCGAGATGACTGGTTTTCGGACGAGAAAAGGCGTGGTGCTACTTTATGAGCCCGACCTGCTGGATGCTTGGATAGGGAGAAGAATAGAAAAGTTGGAGGGGGGAAGCTTCGCCGACATGGAGTCGGGGAAGACCCTCAACAAGCAGGAGGGGAAGTCGTACAAGGCGTACCTCAAGCGCGATACATCTCGCAACGAGGAGGCACGTTTGGCGGACAAGCTGTTCCACATAGCCGACAAGCACCTACCTTTGCAAGCCGACGAGACCCGCGCATACATTGCGCGCTTTCCCGCGCAGGTGAAAAACTTGCTGCCCAAGGCGAGAAAGATCCGGAACAAACTTCGACGAGAAGGGGGACCAGCCTCTATACAGTACAACCAGATCCTCCACCGAAGGGGGACAAGGGGGACAGATCGCGACCTACAAGTGGAGACTGCGACACAACACTGGTGCCAGCAGCGGAAACAACCCAAAGTGAGGCAGTGTGTGCGAGAACAGTGAGCAGGGGGAGTGATCAGTCCTCTGAACCCCGTGGGAGAATGGCACCTTCCGTGAATGCTGACACCCCGCCAGACTGGGGAGGGGACAGCCAGACGGATGAAGACACGCCACAAAACAACTGGCCATGGGGGGAGCAAGGACGTCCCTCCGATCTTGGACGAAGTGATGGAACTCTGGGACAGCGACCAAGCCTGCCTGTGGGGGAACCACAGCAGTCACCTCGCACCCGCGACGAAAGCGGGGGAGGTCGTCTTACTCCTAGCCGCATGTGGCAAGA